GTCGCATTGCACCTATGCACGGAAGCTTGTCCAGTGATAACCTATTAAAAGGAGAAAACGAGAACACCATTTATAAATTAACACATATCAATTTTCTTCTATCAACTTAAACATAGTTCAATTGGGTAATGCATCTATCTTCGACCAAGAGGTTACCGACCAGAGGTTCGAATAGTACATTAAGAATAATCCAAAATATCATTCTGATCTTAGAAACCGAGTGTCAAATGCCCGATATTGAAATGAACATGCTTAAGTACTCAATGAGAAGTGTTCAATCCACAACTCAAATTTGTATACCTCTTTAATACGTTGCTTAAGTTGGACAAGGCTATCCTTCAAGAAAGCTCGGAAAGTGCCACCTATGGTAACAGAATCTGGAATTACATTGAATGCGCCACCTCCTTGGAACTTAGCAACTGTTACTACCTGCACATTTCCGAGTGAGTGTGGGTTCTTATTTGCAAATAAGCAAGCTATTATTGATAGTCAATGCAACCTTGCAAATATATTTATAAGCAGAAGATCGAGCACAAGGGTAATACAGCTTAACACAATATATGAGAAGGTCGTGCTTAGGAATGATTTTGAAAGGGTTAAAATCACTCCAAAACGTACATTTAACCATTCTAAATTGCTTACCTGTGAATCTAGTGGATCAGCTTCCCTTGAAACAAGATGTTGTAAGCTCACAATCACGTTAGAAGCAGCCAAAAGTGGGTCTATGGAATGCTGAGGAATGGCGGCATGGCCTCCTTTTCCACTGATTACTGCTTCAAAGAAGCCGCTTCCAGCTAACATGGGTCCTGGTCGTGCAGCCACTTCACCCAGAGGTATATTATGAGCAATATGCAACCCGAAGATAGCCTGGATATTGTCCAACACTCCAGCTTCTATAATTTTCTTGGCACCTCCACCTCCTTCTTCAGCTGGTTGGAAAACCAGGACAACTGTTCCCTGTTAAGTGAATGAAAATCAAAGCAAACCACCAAGAACATTATCTATGGACTAGAGTATTGTGAAGATGTAAGAGATTAGGGAACATCCACCCCACAAGTGAATCTTTTTCTAGCATCATACTTTTCTTCAGATGTCATTTGACTGACCCTCCAACTTCAAACTACCACCAATTCAAATGCCTAGATGCTAGATCAGTTTTATACCTTTGAGTAAGGTAATGCCTCTTAAACACAAATTTCGAGCCAGAATTTCGATAAGCTTACTTCGAGAAAGAAAGAAGAAGTGCACCCAATTCAATCAAATAAAACCAATTAGTCAGCTCAGTGTGGTTCAGTATATTAAATAAACTTCAAGGTTCATCTTCTAATATGAAAACATTTTGAAGTGCTTTTGTTCACTCACATTTTCTATTAAGATCTTAGTGATGCCTAGGAAGATAACCATGGAAGATTCAATTTTATAATTCATGATCTCCATAGATATCCTGGTTGGGTCATAAGAATAAGTCCATGGAACCAGATTATCATCCAACCAAAACAATCGCAGATAAATACCTTAAATCTGGATCCCAAACTAAGCACAAAAGTGCATACCAGATCTTTCCCAAGAAATTTAAGATTTGGAAAAATGATCCACGAGATGCTTGCTTACCTTCAACTCCTCACTGTGCTTTTGAAGGATCTTTGCAGCACCTAAGACCATCGCAACATGAGCATCATGACCACAAGCGTGCATCTTCCCAGGAATCTTACTCTTGTGCTCCCACTCCACCAGTTCCTGTAAAAACAATTACTCCATAAAAAATTCAAACAGGTCCTGGAAAATTACTGTTGAACTCATCGTCAAGGGATCAAATTATAACAAACAGAAAAAGAGTAGGATCGTTGGTGTTCAGACATATGATCAAACAACTGGTGGGAAATCTTCACTCTACACTCAACTAAACTACCAACTATGAGTAATTGAAAAAGAGTTCTATAGGTCAACCAATCGATTCAAACCTGCATAGCAAGAGCATCCATATCTGCTCGAACGGCCACAAAGGGGGGCTGACCAGAACCAACAAAGCCGATGACTCCAGTACCGGCAACTGGGTATTTATAAGATATGCCCAATTTATCTAATTCTGCTCGAATCAGCTTACTGGTCTCGAATTCCTCATAACCAAGTTCTGGGTTCTCATGAATTTTCCTCCGGATTCCCACCATCCAATCAAACAGCTCTGGCTCCTTAGCAAATTGGAGGAACTTAATAGGAATTTCTGCAAGATTCTCTGAGTTCGAGGAAGAATCTGAGTGCACAGAAGTTAAAACAAACAAATGGGCGATCAAAATCCAAGAAACCCACCTGAGGGAAGCCATGAATGATTGGCTTTCCTGCGGAAATTAGAAATTGAAGAGTGATTTAACAGTTGAAAAAGGGAAAGTAGAAGGAATTGAGAAGTGGGTGTTGTCTGGTGGGACTTGGATTAAGAAGAGCCACAGAGAAGACAGAAAAGAGGCGATGAAGAGAAGGTTAACAGCGCAGCTTGATGCGAATGCGGCGTCCAACAAATTAAAAAGAAAAGATTTATAGTATATTGGCGGCCGCACTTCTTCGTCCACGTGCTCATTTCCATTCTCAACGTGTTCTTTTTCATTTTTTTAAAACAAAATCTTTCGTTGCAAAATTAAAAGATCTTTTGGCCGGTGTTTCTTTCCACTGTCTTCTTTTGGTCTACGCAATTTCATTATTTTTATGATTATTTTCATTTTTTTAGAAAAATGTTAAATTACTTTTATGTTTCCACTTATTTCTTCCTTTCTTCCCCCCCCCCCCCCTTTTTGCAAGGCATTTAAAAGTATATTAAAATTATATGCCAAATATTAACATTTAATTCTTTTTTATTTTGAAAAAAAAAGAGGTAAATAAATATACAAACTTAGTTCATGAACTTTGAAGTGATTAATAACTCTTAATTTTGTAGGTAATAAATTTAAAATTATTTAAAAGGATTAATAACTCTCAATTTTGTATCTAATAAATTTAAAATTATTTAAAGGGATTAATAATTTTTGATTTTATATCTAATAAATTTAAAGTTAATTAAAAAAAAAAAAAACTAGGGTGTTGGTGATGTAAAATTAGTAAATAAGATTGCATAATATATTTTCAAAGTAGAATGAAACTTCAAATCACACTTGATTTCAAATCTATGCTATTTTTTTTTTAATGAAAAAATTCTATGTTTTTTTTTATGAAAAAATTCAAACGTATTTTGATGTAAAACATAATCCTATGTTAATTAGGTAGCATTCGAGTAAAGTGATTCAAGTATAAGAATTTTAAAACTAAATATGTTTTTATTTTTAATAAGTAGTTCAAAATGAATAGGTGATAGATCAAGGCGAAGGCTGCACATTCACGTGACCACACTAAAGAAGATTTAAAAGCTAAAATCCAAACAAAAATAATTATAAAAGCCAAGTTGAGTGCCATTGGGAAAATGACTATATATTACCATTTAAAATGAGGAAGATACACTAGTAGAAATAAAGGGAAAATATACCTATACTACACTAGTAGAAATAAAGGGAAAATATACCTATACTACACTAGTAGAAATAAAGGGAAAATATACCTATATCTTACCAATTTTTAAGGGACGTGACATTTATGAAAGAAGTTATGTCTTCATTCAATTTCTGAGTAAATCGCTCTAAGATTGTCCAAACCTAAAACAATAAATTTCTGAGTAATTCAAAGTATTTAAAACAATAAATTTTCAATAAAGAACTTGAACGTTCAAACCAAAACAAGAAACCCATAAGTGGATGGCACGTAGTGGGAAAACAAAAGTGAGGAAACAAACCAACAAATAATTGCTAATTGTACTTCCACTTCAGAACCTTATAATCAAGAAACTGACCATTTACAATGTCGTATCTATGTTTTTAGTTCAACAATTGCAAAGTGGGCGATTGAACCATTAATCTATGAGATGATAATCTGTATCGTATCTTATCAACTAAATTTTAGATAGTTCTACCCGGCTTACAAAATTGCAACTGCAACTGACAGCTAATGTTCTCATATTTGAGATCACCCTGCTGCACACACCCTATCTAGTAATCCTGACATTAGCAACTAGATAAGATAACCCTTTCCTTTCCTACATGGTATGTCCTCCAAATTCCAGTGTATTTAGTCTAATTTTTCGCTCAAGGAGAGTCAAACTCACGCATTCCACATGTATTATATAATAGTGCCACAAGTTGAGAATCAAGTCTACATTTGCTGCATAAGTATGCTTATTTTACAGTAATCTCCATGAATTGAAACAGATTTCTAAGGTTTAGATCTCAAACTACGCCATGAATTTTTTATGGATCACACATCCATTATCCAAATACATGCCATCTAAATTTAGCCTTATAAAGCTCATTCCTTTAAACAATCTAGATATAGAAAACAGACAAATCAACAGCCTTACCTGCATAGGATCGGTTCTATAGGTTAAGCATACAACTATGTCCTTATGTCCTTGAGTTCTAAGAAGACAACACAAAAATCAACCATAACCATTGAGTTTCTAGGGTGTACTTGCAAGAAATTGGGAATATGTAACCATATAACCATTCTTCGATGTCCCCAGAAGGCCTAATCAAAATCAATTAGAGGCATCCAAAACCTCAACCAATCCCAAAGAACTCCAGAAAAATCACGATTCCAATCTTTTTATTTAAAAAAAAAAAAAAAAAAACCACCTCTCTCCAAAATTCCAGAATTCCAACCTAAGTTTCTTCTTTTGAAACAAGAAGGTGGGTCAGGTGGTAGATTTGAACCTCCCCTCTTATTTTAGGTGTCCCCGATAGAATCCAACGAGGTTGAGCATAGGTTTTGTATGCCAACCAGCCTTAGAACAGCTTGAAACAAAATGTTTTCAACTTGGGACGTAAGGTCCCAAAGTAGTTTCTTGAAAACAATAAAAATTTTCCAGAACACATCGCAAAAAGGTACGAGATATCAACCCAAATAATCAAATAAACATAATGGCAAAGTTTATTTTAGAAAAGGCATCAATTGTAATATGCAGTGCAGTATGCAGCAAGCATGTCGCATATCAAATGCTTCAAATTTATACATATTATAAGTTCTTGTAGGTACTAATACAAGTCAGCAATGAAATACGTAGATTTTACAGCGATATGATATAGGATCTCATTCTAATATAAATTGTTTACCCTCTGGCCTTAAGCTCAGCAAGCCGCCTTGTCAAGTCGTCCTCGTCGATTTTCTCGGTCTCCCTGGTTGGCACAGCGTGACCTGCCGGCTGGGGAAGACCCACAGAAACCTCCAATCCATAGTCGTCGGCCACTTGTTGCATCAAACTATTAACCTCTCCCTCTGGAGTCGACAGAGAAGTCGAACCTGCCATCGCATTCTCCATAAACTCAGCTTGGACCTCCATGTTCACAAACTGCTTCTCAAATTGATCCATGGTCTCCGACATCTTCTGCAGATTACCAGTCGCCAAAGTACTTTCCAAGGATTTGACGATCGAGCCCATAGCCTTGTTTATAGTGGACATCTTCGCCTGCGTATCGAGACGAGCCACGACCGCATCGAGCCGCGAAGCGAGCCGGAGATAATTCATCTGTTCCGTACGCTTCCGGATCGCGTTCTCGGCATAAATTCGTGCCCCGTCCATGTTTCCCTTCTCCATAGCCTTCTTGATCTTGAGCTTCTCGGATTTCTCCTCCTTCTCACACTTTCTCGCTTGGCGCTGCAGGGATTTCGCCGTGAACTTCAATTCCATTATCTGGTTCAACAATTTCTCCGTATTACCCATGATCACAACAGAACTGAATTTCCTCAGGAAAAAAAAAAGAAAAAGATACAGAGAATTTCAATTCTATATTCTAGGGTTTTTAGAAGAATGCAACGACGAGAACGAATACGCGCCGTGTGACAATGGGAATTGGCTTCACCGCGTTCTTTCTCCGTCCAAAATTAACCAATGATTTGCCGTCCCACGTGTGGGGTCCACTAATCTCCTTTTATAATATTCCAGCGCTTTAAGATTTTCTAATTCCTTTTTTTTTTTTATTAAAAAAAAAAAATTCTCAAATAAAAATTTCTAAACATAATTGTAAGAATAAAAAATGGTGAAATTGTTTTTTTATTTTTATTTATATAAACAATTTTATTTCGTTTTCCTGAAAAAGTTGAAATTTAATGACAGCGTTCTATTGTAATTTTAAAAGAAAGGAACAGTGGATAAACAAGTGAGTGTTAAGAGAGAGAATTAAATAGGTTTTGTTTTTTTAAAAATAGAAACTAAAAAGAAAAAAAAAAGGAAAAAAAGGAAAATGTCAGAGACGAATAAAGAAAGTAAAAACTGGGGAAGGGGAAGATGGTATTTGCCCACAGCTCTTCTTCTAACACGCGTCAAAGAGATCAACTGGATTTTTTTTTTTCTCGAATTCTGCTCACAAATCATTCGTAATTCTTCCATTGCAGTTTCTTCCGGCGAGAATTCGCTTCCTTCTGCTACCGGAATAACCTTCTCTTTCTTATCCACTGCCGGAAGTTTCGTCGGAGTGGCTGATCAGAGAACCTACTCACTGGTGCTCGATCTCACTCTTTGGTTTCGTCTACCGGAGCTTTTGTAGCTGGAGCAAGGGATAGGAAGCTTGGGCTAGGGAATTTCTGCTCGGGTGGCCACTACGATACTGTAAGTTTTGAATAGTGAAATTATGGCCGAACTGTACTGTTGATTTCTTGAATCTTTGACATCTTGAATACTTGAAAGATCGGGAAACAGCTTCCAATTGGGAGTTTTTTTTTTTTTTAGCTGTTTGGTTGTTGATTCTAATTTAAGTCTTTATGAATTGTTGGTAATTCAGGATTTCGTTCTCTTTTACTGTATTCTGGATGCAATTGACTGGGGATAGTGTTTTTTTTGGGGGTGGGATGGGGTTGGGGCGGTTCAGATGTTTGGGATAATACAGAAACTACAACATGGCCCTCCACTGTTCCTCAATTTTGTAACATTTTCGCTTTGATTAAAGGCAGTCAAAGTTTGGAAGAGAGAGGTTGGAATCATGCCCTAGTTTTTGTAGAGAATTGTAAAAATCAATTAACTATGGCCACTTGTACTACTATATCATCTGAAAGCGTACATACTATGATATTTTCTACAGCCCCGTGGATTAGTGTGTAGAAACTAAAAGTTCATTTCGGAAGTTAGAGTGACATGGTTTCCTTCTATTCCAACAGAAACAAAATACTTTGAGGAATAGGTGAAATTGACATGCTGGATGTTGCTACCGGTTGGTGGATTAGGCATGAATACCTCAATGGATGATATGAACTTGATTCAGCAGGCACAGAGGCATCACTTGGTAGTTCGAGAGCTTGGAGAAGAGATTGATTTGGAAATTGGACCTGGAGATGACGACCCCTCATTTGCTAGCACTCCTATAATAGGTGGACCAGCACGAGAACCATCTGCAGAAGATCATGATGAGAGTAAGCATGTGGTATTGATTTCTCAACTTTCCAATGATGATCAAGATATGTCAAAGACGCAACCAGCCAAAAGGAAAAAGAAGGTTGTGAAAAGATGGAGGGAGGAATGGGCTGATACATATAAATGGGCTTATGTTGATGTGAAGGATGGAACTGCCAGGATCTTTTGCTCTGTTTGTAAGGAGTATGGCAGGAAGCACAGGAGAAATCCTTATGGAAATGAAGGCAGCCGAAACATGCAGATGAGTGCACTTGAAGAACACAACAACAGTCTACTTCATAAAGAGGCTCTTCGGCTTCAGATGGCCTCCAAGGACAAGATTATTGTTGATAAACCTATTTATGTAAAAGGTAGGGGTTCTCCACATTTTTTATGTTCTTTATGTTATTTCTCCCCAATCTTTGGGTGAAATTAGGTTTTCAATTTTGGAGGGCCATGTTCAATTGACAGAAAAGACAATATTCTCGAGACTTCTAGTTGATCCCTTGTACTCAAGATGATGAAATTAACATTTTAAAGATTGGTGCTTGCGTGTGCATTTTACCATTCTCGTACGTGCTTGCATTAAATAAATAGAAGCCTTTTTCATAATATTTTCTTACACTTGTCCTTTTATGGCTATTATCTTCAAACAAAGCTCTCATGTCAAAAACTGCTGGATCAATCATTGAAGCTGCACTAAAAAGGGATCCTCATGAAGTTGAGTTCATACAAGCAGTACAAGAAGCAGTACATGCCTTAGAACGGGTTATTGCAAAAAATGCTCAGTAAGTTCACCTTGAAGATTTTTTTTTGTAACCCACCTTTAGGTGTTGGAAGTTCTTACTCCTTTATTGATGAACATTTATCAATGAAATTTGTTTCTCTTCCAAAAAAACGTTTACCTTGAATATAAAATTTTGTAATGCTCTGTTATTTATAGTTAAAGAGTGGGAATTATATGTCTTAAAAATCAGCTATGTCAACATTATGGAGCGCTTATTAGAACCTGAACGCATGGTTCTTTTCCGAGTTCCATGGGTCGATGACAGAGGTGAGACACATGTCAATCGAGGCTTTCGAGTTCAATTTAACCAGGCTTTGGGCCCTTGTAGGGGTGGTCTTCGTTTTCATCCATTGATGAACTTAAGCATCGCCAAGTTTCTTGGTTTTGAACAGGTAAGGAACTGAATGCTGGTATTCTCCTTCTATTTTAGTACGAATATTGTGTTGTTAAATGCCAGACATCAGTATGGATCAGGTCAAATTTTATTATAAGTGGATAACGGCTGATTTTATTCTCTTGGGGTTACTGCATATTTCTTTGATGTGAAAGATTATCTGATGTTTTGAAGCGCAAATGGCCAAGTTTTAGGGAATAGTGATTTGTGATTATGCATTGCAAAGTAGTCAATAAGGTTTCTTCATGATGAAATTTAGAACATGGGCTGGTTGCTTTCTAAGAGACATGAGAGAACAGTTTAAACATACCCTAGTTGATTTCCTATTTTCATTTCTTCTTAATTTTATATGGATTCATGGTCCATTAATTTGGTGTGTGTGTGTGTGGGTGGGTGGGTGGTTTGAGAAATACTTTTTCTTAAAAGCAAACATTACCATAAAGGTCACAATATATCCTCTTTAGGACCAAAATCATCCAAATGGATGAAAGTTTTCTCCACACTCAGGGTGGTGCTCCCCACTGAAACAAATTACATTCTACTTCTTGTATTATATCAGCTTGAAAAGAATTAATTGTCTTAATAAAGATTCTCTTCTTGAATATGAAGTAAAACAGCTGCTCACATTCCTAAGAAAGAATGACAATCAAAATTCTAACAGATTCGTCATATGTGTACATCCTACAAAGTAAGCACCAAACTGCTGTCTTTGAGGTGAAATGAAGATAACAGACTAGTAAGTCAAAATTTTCTTAAGATAAGACACAAATTACAACATGGTGGGCTTTGTGCAAAAATGAGGAGGTGACTCAGTGTAACCTTTTCCTTGCTTGGATGCAGCATGGTTTTGGAAATCCTTGGTGAAGTCTTTCATGTGGAAAACAGCCATTCCTAGACGTGTCAAAGGCCTGCTTCTCTTATTCTTGGCAGTTATTCTTTCAAAAAGGAATCTAAAATTTTGGCCTAATCTTACAAGAGCTTTTAATTGGTCCCTTCAGCTCGAGAGAAAAAGAAAAAGTTCTTTGGGATAAGAGGGGTTTTTATGTGTTTTTGGGGATGAGGCAGTTTTTTTCTGTTCCCTTCGTGCAGTCCCTACAATTTTTTTTTTTTTTTTTTTTTTTTTTTTTTTTTTTTTTTTTTTTTTT